AATAACTCAATTTTCATTTTCAAAGAGTATGGAAAGCCAGAAGTATCACTTCTAGTTTTATGGTCTCACATATATAATTTTCATGAAGAAAAATCAATTTGTGGTCAGTTTTCGTTCATTACTATATGTTGGAAATATAAATTCAAATACATGTAGGTGAAAAGGAAAGATAATTTTAACTGAATGATAGATGTTTCATATTTTATCAAAACAATTCTTTGATATGTTATTAGTGAAGTGTTTTTCCTGTTCTAGGTGCTGATGAATGTGATAACGCTGTGTTGTGTTGACAAGTGGGGCCGTCGCCAATTCCTCTTGGCGGGGGCCACATTAATGGGTGTGTCCCTCCTCCTCCTGGGGATCATTTCTCATTTAAATGACCACATATATGGATCTAATCCTTGCCAGGAAAGTGTTCAGTGTTTAGAAGCATTAACTGAAGCCAATCGAAACATCTCGGTATTTTACACTACAACCCCCCAAATATTCTCTATAAACGATTCTTACACATTATCCAAGGCGGACTGGCTGTCTTATATTATGGATAACTACACTGCTACAACAACAGAGGAACCTCATGTACACATCCATGGATCTACTGTTGGCAAAATAGCAGCCTTCACTGCTCTCATGCTATATGTAGCTGCTTTTGGATTCAGTTTTGGTCCAGGTAATGAGTATATGAAACATTTTGTTTTATTGGTTTGCATTTTGTGTTTCAGCAATTTAGGCCAAAAGAAATTAATCAATAGTTTCTCAGGCAAAAAAAAAATAAAAATTCAATGCGGCAGGCATGCTTTTTTTTTTTTTTTTTTTTTACCGGTTGACAGGTTTCACACCTTATTTAAGCAATTTGTTCAATAAAATGATAATATCTACTAATTCTTAATTTTTGTTCTCTGAAATTAGTTATAATATGTATTCAACTTTAAATAATGCTATTCCAAATTTTTATTTTATAGTAATTCAATAAATACTGTAAATTTTGAAGAAATATATTGTTTTTCTAATAAAAACATCTATCTTAGCATTTCTGAAAAGGGAAATAACTCGATTTTCTTTTTCAACTTGGAAAAATAGAAAATTGAGTTATTTCCCTTTTCAATACGTCAATAAAATTGATCAATGCGGCCGTTTTGGGTTAATGTGGAAGGGTTTAGGGTAAGATTTTGGGCTGGGGTTAATTAGGAAGGGTTAGGGTAAGATTTTGGGCTAGGGTTAATGTGGAAGAGTAATGATAAGACTCTGGGCTACCCGGTTAATGTGGAAGGTTTAGGGTAAGACTTTGGGCTGGGGTTAATGTGGAAGGGTTAGGGTAAGATTTTCGGCTAGGTTTAATGTGGAAGGTTTAGGGTAAGATTTTGGGCTAGGTTGAATGTGGAAGGGTTAGGGGAAGATTTTGGGCTAGGTTTAATGTGGAAGGGTTAGGGTAAGACTTTGGGCTAAGATTCTTTTTAGATATTATGTACGGCTCCGTGTAAAAATCATGCAGACAGTACAGAAAAGGTGATTCATCGACCATCTTCAAATTCAATAAAATTGGGTTTAATATATTCATTTGGGTCTAAATTGAATATAAACAGTTGATTTTGTTATAATTCTTCTTTTTTCATATAGCCAGGGATAAAGTACTTGAGGTGTAATTTTGTATAGATAGTGTGCAAATAATGCCTATTTCAGAAAAGAATATCTTTAAAACCCTAGAAGAAGTACAAAAACTTAATACATAATTCAAGTGAACATGGAAGGCTTAATAAAAATTTACTTTAATATTTTTGTGCAAACGAAGTATTGAAAAGATACAAGGTGTTTAAATTCGAGAATTTGTCAACATTCTTCAAATGAGTTATCTCCCTTTGCAATTTTACATAGGTGGCGCTAGTAAAAATAAATGGCAGCCTCCATGGTTAGCTGTACGCTGCAAAGTTATTTTGATGCATCCTGTGATGTTTATTGCAAAAATATGTGTGAAGTGACATAAATTGGTTGAAAGGATTCTACAAGAACAGATTAGGCATAGTTTTCGGGCACAAGTATAGCCATGTGTCGTGTTGATTAGTATATTGACCTTGTTGACATGGTTGACGTTCTCCCGAAATGGTACTCGCCTACTGACACCGTTCTGATCTATATCAGAAGTTTAAATTCTACGGTAATCCACCAGAGTCCAAGAGTAAACTCTCAGAGAGGGGTGGCAGTCCGATTTTGTCAGCTTACTCGACTTGGAGAGGGAAGATAATGTACATTTTACATTTGACCAGGTAAGATCAGGTCCAGAACACTGCAGAACAATTTCTTGATTAAGATAATTAATTTTGTAGCTTGAAATAGCTATGAAGCTTTAATATGTTGACGGTGCGACCGTTAGGGCGAGCGCATATACTTATCCATTTTCATTTAGATTGGACATGTAAATCCGCACGTGTCATTCAGTGCGTATTAGATTCTGACGTCATATGACGTCGTTTGTATGTTGCTTTACCAAACCGAAGCCTGAACAAGGCTGATTTCAATCAGTTTATGAATATCTTTCTGCAATAAACAGATAAAATCATTAAATCAAGACAAGTTTATTATTCGTTTAACTTTTGTTGTTATTCTCGTGAGAATGTTGCTTTAGAGTTTGTGTATGAAGTGATGCATTGTGGGTCTAAATTACTGCGGTAAAAAATTCTTAGGAATGAATGTGCAGTAGTCTGAATTTTCTCTTTGCCCAGGCATTTTCATCAGAGCTCGCAGTTACGTGCATCGCTTTGCGACCCTTGCTGCACTCGCTATTAATCTATTTAAAATAGCTTGGTAAAGCTTTTTATATGCAGTCAAAAGTATTTTACAAGTCCTATATGACAATGTATTATGAGTCTTTAATAAAAAGGAAAAATCATAGATACTTGTAGTATTGCAGCTGTTGAATACTTTTAATTAAGCAAAAGACGAATTTCCATTTTCTTAAGAGCTCAGGTACACTACCGTTAATGGAAGGTAATTTTCAGCACAATGTTTTTGTCTCTACTCTAGCATTCTACAATTAATTGAATGAGTCCCCAAGCATGACAGTCTACTATTTGTTAATACAAATCAGAAGCGACACACGGTTTTCGTCGATTTACTGCATACTAAAAACTTTATTTACTTCATCACCAAAAATAATAGAGTTTCTTTTTTACTTTATACAGCCAAAATTGAAAGATTAGTTTCCAAAGACACTGCTCGATGCTCACATTTAAAATTGTAGTTTTAGATAATAAATACAGTGAACCTTCAGATATCTGGATGCAATATATCCGAATGCTTCAGTATTCGGACGATTTTTCATCGGAACGAAAATTTTTAACATTATTTTGTCTTATTTAACTGGTAATTCAGGTATCCGGACACTTCACATATCTGGAAATTTGACTAGGAACCAAAGCGTCCGGATAAATAGGGTACCACTGTAGTTGCTTCCAATACGTACCGTACAAACCTTGTGACGTTTGTATGTCTTACTTTTGATATTTGATTGAGGGTTAAATGATAATTGTGCACCTTGTGCTGCTGTCTAAAACAAGATGTGTTTGTGAAACACTGATGCCCCCATACGGCAACATAGCGATGGTTAAGCTTTCTCAAATGCAGATCAAATATGTTGGTACCAAAGTAAGGCCTTTTCACACGAAATACGATATGTAAACACAAGATTATGACCAAGGTTAATATTTTATAAGATAGGACAAAATCCGGGTCAAGTTCAAAGGGTCAAGGTTGTTGTGTTCTAAAGAAAGGCCTTGTTTCAAAGATTACGTATGGGAAGTATGAAAGCACTGGCCCTTACCGTTCAAAAGTTATGGCCAAGGTTAAAGTTTGTAAAAAGTAGGTCAAACTCTAAGGTCAAGGACAAAGGGTCAAGATTCTTGATATCCAATGAAAGGTATTGTCACAAGGATTACATATGTGAAATATGAAAGCTCTAGCCCCAACTGTCAAGGTTAAAGTTTGTAAAAAGTAGGTCAAACACCAAGGTCAAGGTTCTTGATATCAAATGAAAGGTCTTGTCACAAGAATTAAATTTGTGAAGTATGAATGCCCTAGTCCTAACCCTTCAAAAATTATTGTCAATGTTGTATTTTTAAAGTAGGTCAAACTCCAAGGTCAAGGTCAAAAGGGTCAAGGTTCTTGGTATCTAATGAAAGGTCTTTTTATCAGAATTATATATGTGAAGTATGAAAGCCCTAGTACTTATTGTTCAAAAGTTATAGATAAGGTTAACGTTTTTTCATAGGTACAGAAATCTCCAAGGTCAAGGTCAAAGGGTCAATTGTTGGTATCCAATGAAAGGACTTTCAACAAAGATTACATATGTGAAGTATAAATGTCTTGGTATCTACTGTTCAAAAGATATGGCCAAAGTAAAAGTTTAAAATTTTCATGTAAAAGTGGGTCAAACTCCAAGGTCAAGGTCAAAAGGTCAAATTTGGTGGTACCCAAAGAAAGGTCTTGTCACAAGGAATACACATGTGAAATATGAAAGTCATAGCTCCACTAAATCAAAAGTTATGGGCAAGGTTAAAGTAAAGGACAAACAGACAAACAGAGAGAGAGACAGACAGACAGAGAGACAGACTAGACCTGTTTAAGTTACTGTGCACTCCCCTATGTGCGATGAGGCATGAATAAGTATGATGGTATGTTTAAGGCAGTGTTTGAAATAACTTGCTCAACCGCCTGAGATGCACAAATTTTGTCACAGGCAAACAGATTTGTAACAGATTACAGATTTGACACCCGACTGAAAATGAAAAACATTTCAAAAACTTGACCTTGGTCATGACTTTTGAATGAAAAATAAAGGGCTTTTCTCATTGGGATCCAAAACCAAGGCGCACATGGATCTTGAAAAATAGATACAAAACTTGTAATGGTTTAAGTAACAATCTTTTAAAATCTTCTCAAGAACATGAAGATGATGATATGGAAGCATTCTCTGGTGATGTAGTGTAAAATTAAACCCCCTTTGGGTAGGATGGGGCCACAATGGGGATCAAAGTTTCACATTGCAATATATAGGGGAGAATCTTCCCTAGAACAGCAAAGCCATGATTAATATTGTACTGATATGGAAGTCATTCTAAGAAGCCTCAAGTAGTGTAGATTTTGTTTAAATTCAATAAATTGTACTAAAGTTAAAACTGGAGACATATTGCAAATGATGAAAAATACACTAGTAGAAAAGATATTTCACATACAGCAAAACTCGTTTACTACGAACACAGATATAGCAAATTCATGGATATAGCGAAGTTATTTTAGATCCCCAGCTATATAAAATTAAAAAATTCCTTATATGGATATAACGAGTAATTGATATAGCAAAGTAATTTCATAGGTCCCGGTGACTTTGTTATAACTTTGTTTTACTGTATTTCATAAATTAGTATTATTGTTTTTTAGATGAATTAAACTCCATTTTATTTTCACAGAATGTATGCGATGGGCTGCATCATGGTTTTGAAGGAAAAGGTTACATTAATTATTACAGACAGCAAGAAAACATCATTGAACACCAACAACTAATAAGACTCCAAAGGTGGGAGAATATCTGTCATGCAACTATTTTAGATTTTTAATGAAATTACTGCATCATATAAACTTGATATTCCATGTAAAGTAATTTATAAAATCAAAACAACCATTTAGTACCTTAATAATAATGTAGCATAAACTAAAGAATTCTAAATTGATGAATGATAAGTTCATGTAGATGTATATTGTAATTATTATTTTAGGAATAATGGAAAATAAGATATTTAAAGCTGTCAAAAAGCAGAGTTTAGAGTTCAGTGGATTCCATGATGGTACTTTGGATAATGTTAATCAGGCAGCAATTCTTTTCCAAAGGATCTTAAGTGCTTTTAGAAGAGGCTAATAAACAAAGGACAGTCACTTACTACAGCAGAGAAGCAGGGGAGATTAATGATATTCTGAGTGGCATGACTGCACCTTACAAAGAATATGTAAAACTTTAAAAATTGTGTTTACATATACAATGATTATATGATTAATGTATCTAGTAATCAATATTAATATGATTAATATTTTCAAATGTTTTTTACATTTTACTGTTCATTAATGAAAAAAATAATTTGTGTTGTATTTGAATTTGGAAATGTAAAGGAATTTATTTTAAAATGTAAACTGATATTCTTACATGTAAACATGTACTGGCATATGTACATGGTGTATTTATTGGACTCTGACAAAAGATGATGCTACTTCTTTTTTGGAGAAATTATTAATCACAATGATTTTTGTGCACATGATTTTTTTTAATTTTCTATAGGGTATGGTATCTATGAAAACTACTCAGCCTTTTTGTTTGGCTATTTTTTAAATCATAGATATATTTTATTTTCTTGATAACCGAAATCCTCAAAAAATGATATTTTGTTGTTTTTTGTCAACATGAATTATCTCCCCCTTTCAGCTTGAAATTAGAAATAATACTGTAGATATAGATATAATTTGATTATTGAAAATAAATAATTGTGTTGTATTTGGATTTGGAACTATAAAGAAATTGTTTTGAAATGCTATTTATAATTTAACATGCATATTAAATATATACTTGACATTTATTTGACCGTGATGAAAAAGTGAATTTCCCATTTTTTGTATAAAACTCTTCAATGGCTTTTGGAAATTAATAATCAATTGCACAAAAATGTTTTTAATATTTTATTTTCCATAAGGTATGGTGTCTAGGAAATAAACACTGCCTTTCTTTTTGGCTGTAGTGTATTTTTTCTTTAAATTTTTTATCATATAGCTGAATTAAGCTGTAAATCCTTTTAAAATTGAAAATTTCAGTTTTTCTCGACATGGATTATCTCCCCTTTTCAGCTTAAAATTAAAAACTATTCCTGGACGTGGTAATATTTGGATTAATTATAAAAAGTAAACAATTTAATTGTATTTGAAAATGGGAATATAAAAAAATGGTTTTGAAATGCTATTTATTTTTTACATGCAAACATATATGGCATATATTGGACTGTGACAAAAAAAGAGAAATTACCATTTTTGTACAAAATTCATCAGTTGTTTTGGGAAATTAATAATCATCTGCACAAAAATGTTTTAATAATTTTATTGACTTTAGACTATAGTCTCTATGAAACTAGCATGGCTTTTTAGTTTGGCTGTGGGGTTTTTAGAAATTTTTGATAGACAAAAATCCTAAAAAATGGATATTTTACATTTTTTGCCAATATGGATTATCTCCCCTTTTTAGCTTAAAATTAGAACACATTACTGGTCATAAAAATATTTTGACTAGATATGGATAGTAACTACTTATGCTGTATATTGATAAGAAATAAACATAAATTTGTTTTATTGTTTAGTTTTCTTTTCATTTAATCTTCATTATTGGTATTTTTGCCTGCTTTTAGAGGAAATTTCAGCCATTTTTTGCCCAAAACAGTTTATCGGTTGCCATGGATACCAATGGCAGAATTAAGAAAAATATATAATTTTTTTTGGAGTATCTTAGCATACTCTACCAACATGCAAAGTTTGAAGAAATTCTGAAACCCCCCATGAATCACCCTCTGCATGATTTTTACACGGAGCCGTACTTATATATCTTAAAAATGAAACAATGCTTATTTCCATGAAAAGTAAAAAGAAATTGAAAAATCAAATTACTCAAAAAATGATTGGGTAGGGGTAATTTGGATGGATTGGTTAGAGTATGTGAAACAGATCACTTCCTATTGTTAGCTTAAACAATTTTTTTTTTTCAGAGGTTCTTCTCAGCAAAGTATCGGCTGCAGACAATTCTGACTCAGATGACCACAGTGCTGTGAAGTCCACTAAAATAGAATTACAGGAGTGTCACCTACAGACAGCCCCAGTAGAGGATGATGGGATACCATCCAAGTCGACCTGTGGCTCCATCTATGTGGTCTTTGCCTCAATCATGGCCTCTTTGGGAGGAGTGTTATTTGGATATGACATAAGTAGTCTTGTAGTGACAAATCAAGATATTTAAGAATCAAAGGAGGCTTGAATTGCTGAAAAAAAAAGAGAAATACGTTTTTTACAGTTTATGCTGATTAGTATACCGTATGTGTACTTATATTGGCATATTCAAAATTAAGGCATAATCATAAAGAATGGATGGACTTAACGCCCTATTTTGGATCTTTTTGCGACTCCTGTACCAAGCTGTATATGAAGTGAATCCAAAATATATTACGAGCAATGGGAAGAGCTACATATACTTGGTTAAATTAGGTGGAACATTTGTACAAAAACAATGCATGTTGTCATGTATCAAAATTGAAGCAACGATACATGAGTATCGTCTTCCGGAATTCGACATGTACCTGACATGTACCCGGACTGTTTTTTATGTCAGACAATCAATATTTATCGGAGGCGGGGCTATGGATCGGCGTCATTTTTGACATCTCTCTCTCTATCCCTCTCTCTCTCCATAAATTCGAATACGTGTTAAGCATATTACAGCGATGTCATTATTTTAAAAATGTGATGACACGCAAAATTAAAACAATATTTATTTTGCCAAATTCTGAAAATGGCAACAAAACACGCTCAAAGACATAATTTAGATCGAGGTCAGGTTGAAGAATACAATGTAACTGTTTTCACGAGTACACTCGCAGGTGGACATCACGTGATGAAATGTAATATTAAACAGGTCAATCGAAGACATAGCAAAGGAAGCTAGAAGTTTTTTTCGAACATGTTTTTTGTTAAATTAAGTGTGAGCACACGTTTGTCTGCTCTTCTCCTTTTAATATAACGTTATTTTGTTCAATATACAACTACAGTTTTCTTAACAACAGCCGACAAACATGTGCTGACTATGTATTCAGACGATGAAAAAAAGTCCACCCATTCTTTGTGCCACACATGTCCATTCCATCTATTGATACAGTACTGGGATATTTATCCTCCTCTTTTGTATCATTTCTCTCATGTGGTCTTCTCACAATGTACTCGCTGTACCCTGCCTTGATGTTCAACAGCTTTTCTTTTTCTGTGACAGGAATAATCTCTGGAGCAGTGTTACAGCTAAGGGATGACTTCTGTCTGTCCTGCTCCTTCCAGGAGATACTGTAAATGTATTATATTTAGCGTGTACGATATTTGGCGGAAATTGACTTTTTAATAAGTTAGCGTAGATTTGATTTAGCGGATTTCTTCAAATTGTTATTTATGTGTATATGTGCAAGACATTTAGCGTTGTACTTGATTTAGCGGTTGCTGCGTTCCGCCAAAGCCGCTAAAAAGAATACACAGCCAAATGTAATACGTTTACAGTAGTCATCAGCGCCATTTCAATGGGAGCTGTTGCGGGATCACTTATTGGAGGTAAGGTCATCAGTGCCATGTTAATGGGAGCTGTCCCGGGATCACTTATTGGAGGTAAGAATAGATCGTCAGTGCCATGTTAATGGGAGCAGTCACAGGATCACTTATTGGAGGTAACGTAGTCAGTCCCATGTTAATGGGAGCTACCACAGATCACTTTGGAGGTAAGGAACATTATCAGTGCAATGTTAATTGGAGCTGTCACGGGATCACTTATTGGAGGTAAGGTCATCAGTGCCATGTTAATGGGAGCTATAGCAGGATCACTTATTCGAGGTAAAAATAGATCATCAGTGCCATTTTAATGGGAGCTATCTCAGGATCACTTATTGGAGGTGAGGTACATCATCAGTGCAGTGTTAATTGAAGCTGTCATTAGATTGCTTTTTTGGAGGTAAGGTTGTCAGTGCCATTTTAATGGGAGCTATAGCAGGATCACTTATTGGAGGTAAAAACAGATCATCAGTGCCATGTTAATGGGAGCTGTCACTGGATCACTTATAGGAGGTAAGGAAACATCATTAGCGCCATGTTAATGGGAGCTGTCGTGGGATCACTTATAGGAGGTAAGGTCATCAGTGCCATATTAATGGGAGCTGTCGCGGGATCACTTATTGGAGGTGAGAAAACATCATTAGTGCCATGTTAATGGGAGCTGTCGTGGGATCACTTATTGGAGGTAAGGTCGTCAGTGCCATGTTAATGGGAGCTGTCGCGGGATCACTTACTGGAGGTAAGATCATCAGTGGCATGTTAATGAGAGCTGTTGTGGGATCACTTATTGGAGGTAAGGTCGTCAGAGCCATTTTAATGGCTTATTGGAGGTGAGGAACATCATCAGTGCAAAGTTGATGGGAGCTAATGGGACTTATTGGAGGTAAGATTAAAGAATAGATCTTAACGGGAGCTATTGCAGGATCACTTATCAGAGGTAAGATTTGAGATACATGTTTCAAGCAAAAGTTTGAATTGTCTTGATGTGTAATCTTGTTTTATAATTTAGGAAGATTAATTGCACATGTTTATATTATGCATGAAAGTAAGAAAAGATTATTTCAGGAATGCATTTCTTAAGTACTGCATGCATGATAACAATTTGATCACTACCAACATATAGGTTTGTTGAAGCATTCTAATTTATTTTGTTTCAGGTGTTTTAATTGACAAATTTGGCAGACGACTGACCATTACCGTATAATCCCTATTAACCGCCCCTGCCCCTATAAGTGCCCCCTTAGGTTTTTTCAATTGTCAGGAAATATGGGCCCCCTGTACAGTGATTAAAATCAGCTAGAATCGTATAAAAAATTGGAAGAAAGTGAAAAAGAAACTTGTGTATTATCCAATTTCTCAATGGAAAATGAATAATTTAGCATAATTTGGGTGAATTATCTTCACTTTAAGTAAAGTTAGACATCATTTTAGTGGTTGCTATTATTATTTTTTTTTTTTTGAAAGATTTTGAGAAGTTAAAATATGACATTAAATATTAAAAAGAGAATTCCAAAATAACCGCCCCCTTTTTGCAATTTTCTTAGCGCCCAGGGCGGTTAATATGGATTATACGGTATTGTAAATACAATAGTGTTTTTGGTTGGAGCCCTTGTTTTAGGATTTTCACCAAATTATCCTTCACTGGTAAGTAGGATTTATGATTCCTGTTATACTACTGATTTTCATAATCACTTCCTATTGCATTGATAGTTTCTTCCAGACGTTCCTCTCTGTTGAAGGTACAAAGTTCTTACCAAAATACCCCTCCCTATAAAGGCTTTTTGAAGTTCTTCACTCGGATGGATTGAATATCAATTAAACTCAATCATAATCCTCCCAAAACATAATTCCTTGATGCTTTCATGTTTTCCCTTCTGCATTTACAATATTCTTCAGTATTGAACCTTCCTCTTGCACATTGCATTGTCTTTGTTGTGCTGTAATGGATACTTCCTGTGTGATATTAACTTTTCTATCTGTGATGGTATTTAACAGATCGTCGGTTGTCTTCTATTAGGATTTGCTGTTTCTCTATCAGCCACAGGAGAATGCATCTACATCTCAGAAATAGCACCCCCTGTAAGTCAGAAGCATTTTATATATGCTCTGTGATCACTGTACTTTTATTCAATCAAGTTTTATGACCTCAGGTGATGATAAATTGGTAGTATCTTAAAATATGTATTCTTTGAATGCATAGCACATGTTCTTGTTATAAGAAATTCTTCTCGTTTTCAGAAAAAGAGAGGACAGTTAGTGTCATTGAATTGGATTTTTAAGCTACATGTACTTTTATAATCAAATTTTTTTTCCCCAATTACTGCTATCTTGTGATCATTTGGTCACAATGGTAAACAGTTTGTTGTGTTTGACAGGCGGAGGACGTGTTATTAAAACTGAGGGATGGGAAGAAAATACAAGTACATCGTGAATTAGAAAAGATAAAATCATCCATTAGCAATGAAAAGGTAGGGAACATTAGTTTTTAGCTCACCTGAGCCGAAGGCTCAAGTGAGCTTTTCTGATCACATTTTGTCCGTCGTCCGTCCGTCTGTCTGTCCGTCCGTCCGTCCGTCTGTCCGTCTGTCTGTCCGTCTGTAAACTTTTCACATTTTCGACTTCTTCTCAAGAACCACTGGGCCAATTTTGACCAAACTTGGTACAAAGCATCCTTGGGTAAAGGGAAATTTAAATTGTTAAAATGAAGGGACATATCCCCTCGCAAGGGGAGATAATCAAGAAAAGACAAAAATAGGGTGGGGTCATTAAAAAATCTTCTTCTCAAGAACCACTGGGCCAGTAAAGCTGAAACTTATGTGGAAGCATCCTGGGGTAGTGTAGATTCTAAATTGTTCAAATCATGACCCCCGGGGGAAGGGCGGGGCCACAATGGGGAATCAAAGTTTTATATAGAAATATATAGGAAAAATCTTTGAAAATCTTCTTCTCAAGAACCACTGGGCCAGAAAAGCTGAAACTTATATGGAAGCATCCTGGTATAGTGTAGATTCTAAATTGTTCAAATAATGACCCCCGGGGGAAGGGCGGGGCCACAATGGGGAATCAAAGTTTTATATAGAAATATATAGGAAAAAACTTTGAAAATCTTCTTCTCAAGAACCACTGGGCCAGAAAAGCTGAAACTTAATATGTGGAAGCATCCTGATATAATGTAGATTTTAAATTGTTCAAATAAAGACCCCCGGGGGAAGGGCGGGGCCACAATGGGG